ACTCAAAAGCAGTGTCAACACTTCCCTCTGCTACTATAAGACTAGCTAACACCCTCCTTCTCTTGCTGTAGAAGTTTTCAGACCACAAAAAAACCCAGGGGCTACTACACTGGTAAAACTGTAGGTACTTTATATGTTACCTGTCTATGCTTGCTACAATTCCTGAGTGCAAGCAAAATAAAGTTGTTCCTCACCTTCCCAGTTTGTCATTTCCCTCATCACAAAGGGATGAGGGAAGAAATAAGTAATTCTAAAATTCTTTCTGGTTATTCCTCTTGCATCCCATAAAGTTTACATTTATTTTGCGAAAGTGAAGTATGCATGCATGTATGTGTGCATAGAGCAGGGGTCGCCAACCTTTTGGACCTCAGGGACCACCAAACTCATAATTTTAAATCCCGGGGCCCACCCTGTGAATTTGATTGACGGTGGCTTGCTGACATTGGTGGGAGAGAGAGAGAAAGAGAGAGAGAGGGAGGGAGGGAGGGAGGGAGAGAGAGAGAGAGAGAGAGAGAGAGAGAGAGAGAGATATCTGATCTAACTTCTCTCTTTCCATCTCCCTCTCCCCCGCCCCATACACAAACACACAGAGGCAGGGGTGGGATTCAAATTTCTTAACAACCGGTTCTTGGGCGTGGCCTAATTTGTGAGTGTGGCTTGGTGGTCATGTGACTGGCTGAGCATGGCTTGTATGTAAATATTATAAATATTTATGTAAGTATTGAATTTTTTTATAAAAAATAGCAACTTTTACCCAAAATCAGGCAAAGCAGGCAGGCAGATTGAGTTACTCACAGAATCACAGATTCAGAGCTCTATCTTTCTGCCATCGGCGTCCTGAGTCTGTCACATAAAATTTGCTTGCAAGCAAACTCACAAAATTAACTCACAACACACCCTGTATATAAATATTGAATTTTTGCAAGCAAACTCACAAAATTAACTCACAACACACCCTGTATATAAATATTGAATTTTTTATTTAGAAAAAGAGCAACTTTTACCCAAAATCAGGCAAAGCAGGCAGGCAGATTGAGTTCTCACAGAATCACAGATTCACTTAGAGATCTGTGTTTCTGCCATCGGCTATCTGAGTCTGAACTTAATAATAGAACCTTCAGTCCTAAGGGAGGTTCGGCTCTGCTTTTAAGCAGAACTGAAGATCTAAAGATTAGGTAGAAAGCAAGAAATCCAACGATTACCTGCCTTCTAGCTAATCTAAATCTTCCGGCAGAGCAGAACACTTGATGGTTGAGGGGAAAAAAAGGAAAAATGGCAACTTAGCAGGCAAGTTTGCCAGGTAAGGAGTGACTGGGCGGGGAAGGTTCCCGTGGGTCATGTGGGCGGGGCAGACTTGTGTTCCTGCACAGCCTGGATTAATTGCTTTGGGGGGTGCTCTAAGGGTAACATTTCTGTGCGGACCACCAAAATTTTCTCGCAGACCACCAGTGGGCCTTGGCCCACCGGTTGGCAACCACTGGTATAGAACATTCATAAGTTAGCACTTAACTAAGCTGAATCTTATTTCTTGATGAGTTGACACAGATTGGAGTGATACACACAGCACCTCTTTCATACTCCCAAACATCCCCAGGCACCCTATCTATCCTGTGCCACCTCTGCAAACACCATTTCCAACCAGCGTGGTACATCTCACACATCATGATCCCCCATGCATGTACAACTCCCATGTACTCTTTGCAAACCACCCAGCACCTCTTGTTTAGCCCCATGTAGCATTTTCTGAACTGCAGGCTTGCGCACCCCCTCGCTTCCTCTCTTACCCAGCAGCAACAATCTGCCTACTGGCTTTGAACTTCCATAGCCCTGTTGTCTTTCTCAATGACTTTCTTCTTGCAAACTTCCCATAAGAAAAATGAATAGGGAAGCTGGTAAGAAGGCAGGTATGTAGATAGTGACAGGTAGGTAGGTAGGTAAGAAGGAAGGAAGGAAGGAAGGAAGGAAGGAAGGAAGGAAGGAAGGAA